AATGGAAGAAAGAACAGGGTGTGCATTTATTGTTCAACTAAGCTGTTTACTGTAACAGAAAAAGGAGCATTTACATGGGTGGAAATGTTTACGGGCTGCTGTCTCCTCAACGCAGTTAACTCCTCTGTGCGTGAGGTCACGCTGCCCTTCGTCTTTTGTATCCACACATGCTATGAAACTCGAGAAGTTTTTCAATATGTCTCGATATCTTCCAGTAGTCATGAGACAAATCTTTATTTGAAACTTTTTTTTGGCAGCTCCTAAAAGCAAAGCTACATAAGAGGAGTAGAGGTACTGTACCTTTGGTAATCTTTCTTGGTCTCCCGGGTGTCTAGGGATGACTTTTTGTAATCTCTGGAAGCCGTAGTCTATTGTTGGCTCATTCAGTGCTANATCATTGAAAAACTATATACATGTGGTGCCATAAAAATTTCTTTGACAACATTTGCAAAAACAGCTTTGAAACTTTTAACAGTTTAGCATTGTTTTAAAACACCATCAATGCACTTGGATCATGGCTCTGCTCACATAAAGTTAACTTCACTAACCACTAATCCACTAAACAAGAATCTTAGCTCCACTAGCGCTAATATGCTAAACAAGCAAAAAAAAGGTGAACGCTAACGCTAACTGCTAAGACGACTGTCACAGCCTCCTTCCAGCTGAAGACTGGTGGGACTGATACATACTTGTTACTTTTGTATTGGTTTAATTAGAAGGTGGGTGAGATCATCTGCAGTAAACCGACCAATCTAAGCCAGAGTTATAACACTGTCTAACTCGTGATATTTCAAGTTTACCCCTTTCAAAGTAAAAGCATTTCTTTGATCAAGTTTGTATTTTTGTAAAATACCCTTTAAAGTTAGTCAAATAACAGTCAATACTTTCTCTACCATATTTTATTCAATCAATTTTGTACTAATTATTTAAATATAGTTGAATGTTTTATTATTGTTATTATTTTAAAAGGTTTTAGCTTGGCGTTTAGCCGCTAAAGATGACACACACACACAGAGTCCCTAACATGTCTAGCACTGCTTGAGTGAATAGTTTTTATTTGATTTGTSATGAAAGGCATACAAATAGAGGTTTAACTCTTGTGAATTTTTTAGTGAACTTAAAACCAGCGGAAGCTAATCAGTTCACTAACAGCTACCAGAGTTAATCCGCTAAATTAGAAGCTAGTTCCGCTTTTACCGGATTAGCAGACTAGCACACCTGAGCCMACCACTGCCACTAACTCATCAATCCAATCACATAAAAGTTGCTCAAAGAGCTACAGCAGGTGAGATATTAGTTATTCAGGAACCTTTCGACAGAAGCCCGCTTTAAGAAGTCCCAACTTGGCTTCATGTGTAAATGATTGTACTAAAATGTGCGTTTGAAAACAAAGAAAAATAACTTTAATGTGGGTGTGTGTTTGTCGGGTCCGTCTGTTTCTCCTGTGGGTCGCAGCTTGGATGTTTCCTGAGGCCTGATGCCCTGCTCGCCTCACATCTGAGCAGGCAGCCTGACTGGGCAGCCCCCAGAAAAAAAAAAGGGCCCCCAGAGGCTACGAGTACAAGCTGTCCTGCTGGACCTCTAGTGACTTCACCCCGGCTCTTCTCAGACCAACCCTCTCACACGCACACGTACACAATAAACCAACGAGGACAAGCAGCAGGAATAGGTGGCGCTTTGTTTTGGCAACACAAACGTATTTGGACAGCTCTCCCAGCGGACTGCTCGCTGTAATCCATAAGAGTAAAGGAGAGGAAAGGTGAAGAGCTCGAAGCAAAGACATTGCAAGAATAGAAGTTAGGGTGCTGGAGGCAGGCTCCAGATACACATTAGAGAGGTTAGATGGTTCACTGTTAAAATACAAAAGAAAAAAAGGGCAAAAAACAAAACAATGAGATGATCACATGCAACAAATACAGCGTAAATTATTGCTGAGGACAAATATTTGACATTACTTCCCCATTGTCTGATCTCTCTAAAGCCTAAAGGAGGATTTGCTCTGGATTAGGACACGCAGACTGTGAGGAGGGGATTGTTCCGGCGTACATCCTCTGTTTCGTCTCAAAGGCTTTTGTTTTTATGATGAATTTTTTATCAGTTCTGCTCAATGTGCCAAATGAGCCTCGAGTGAACAATAGCATAAAAAAAAGAAAAAAATGTCTGGGACGTACAGGATGCCCCTATTACAAATAAAGAGACAATTTTGGTAATTGAGAGAGGAAGCGATATTGTCTCTGCTCGTTTTCAAGGACCATAAACTATAGGAGGATTGTATGTATGTGTGTGTGTGTGTGTGTGTGTGTGTGTGGGGGGGGGTGCTTCACTAACTACTTTGCTGTATCTCTTTGGGGATTATCTTTGCTTCTTATGCTCTTATATTCATGCTCAATATCGTCCAATTCTCGTCAGGAATTAGTGTTGAAGCAAAAAAAAAAAAGAAAAAAAAAGAAAAAAGAAAAAAGAAAAGATGCTGCAACTCACCAGGATTCAAAGCACACTCTCCTATACAGGTATATTTATAATCCTTAGCTGTCGCTCTCCAGAAGTGCAAATCAAAGCCAGTAAAACATAACTGCCATAAATAAATGAATAGATGAGCAACAGCCCTGGACTGGAGGGATTCACCTAGCAATCACCCACATCAGATCAGATCAATGCTCATGGARATTTCATGAAGCCCAGAATCCACATCGCTTCATATTTCACTATAATAACCCCACAGAGCCTCAGGGGGTGTGCGTATGAAGGGGTGAGGGGAAGGGGATGGGAGAACGAGGAGAGGAAGTTGGGGTGCAGTGGAGTTGTGAGCTTTTTTTTTTTTTAAAGGGGGTGGATGTATGGAGTGCAAAGAGCAGGAGGTTGTTGGGTGGGGACGTGATGGAGAGGTCAGAATGGTGGAGTTGTCCTGGAAGCAGAAAACGGGGGGGGAGAGGAAGCTATACAGCCAGTTGTCTCCGCCTGTGTCACAACAGTGTGTGTGTGTGTGTGTGTGTGTGTGTGTGTGCAGTTGCAAGGGTTAGGTAATTGGCTCTGAGGCTTGATGTTAACACCTTAACAGGCCCTCAGACAGCAAGGTAAGGAGCTGATCATATCACAACCTCCAGTTTCTCCCTTTWTCTTTGCTCTCCGCTCACATCACCCCCACCGCCACAGCCCCCCCCCCCGACTCCTCAACACTCTCTCCTCTCCCCCACTCAACCCCACCCGCCTCCCTCCCCTGCAGTCTCCCGTGCTCAGGTGTGATCTCATAAGCGCTGCCTGGCGATCGATGCCGCCAGTGGCAGGGGGTTCAATAGCCCTGAATTACGGCTTCATTTCTGCCCCCATCCCCTCCCTTCCACCACCCCTTTTCTCCCCACACAGATGAGAGCTGCCCAACACACACACACACACACACATACACACAAAACACCACCCCCACACCCCTTCCCCTCCCACCAACTACTCACAATCCAGATCAATACCTTACAATCTAATTTTTATCCATTTTTCCATAAACCCTGAGATTGCGTTTATTTGCAGAATCCGACAAGCTAAATAAAGCATCGCTTGAACATGTCAGGGAGACTAATGCATGGCTGGAAATTCATACAGAAAAAAACAGATGAGTGGAGCTTTTTTTTTTTTGTCTTGCTCCTAAAGGAAGGGAGAGGCTGAGCCAAAGAGAGAGAGAGAAGATGGAGATTCTACAAATCAATGGAGGTGAGTACGCCACCAGAACGTAAGCTCTAATTATCTGTTGCAAAAAAAAAGTGCATGTCGACAGTTAACAATACCTGACAGCCTCACTCACAGGGGAAAATGCAATTTTTTTTTTTTTTTTTTTTTTTTTTTTTTTTGGTGTCTGGATAGAAACTGTGCATTTGAATTAAGATTTAGGAAAACAGAAAAAAAAATCATTCCCCGCGGTGAAGGCTGCTCATTTCAGCACGGTATGAAATAATCTCCATCCAAATTCATTTACATCATCATCATCATCATCATCGTGGAGGCAGATGCGCCTGTAATAAGACGGGAGCACGCGCTAAGGAGGGAAGACAAGCCACATGGTGCAGAAAATTAATCTCAATCTCAAATAGAGGTGTGAGTTTCCGTGCAGTTAGGGCTGTAAATGTGAATGTATGCAGCCTCCTCAGCTGGCCTTGTCTCCAGCTGTACACCAGGCGTTTTAATCAACAGCAGGCATCCACCCAAGCTCAATAAAAAGGCAGCATTCACAAATAGGAGCAGGCCAAGTAATTGACCAGCTCGTGGCCGAACCCCCCCACACCCTCTTCTTTTATTGCCAGATGACTCCGTGCTGCATTTGTGCATCTTTAATGTGCTCATGTGCGAGTGTAGGTGCATTATGAGCGTGTGTGTGTGTGCATCTGTAGGTTTTGTTATCTTTAGAAATGTATAAAAAGAGCCTGCATACATTCATGGTGTTCTATCTAAATCACACCCTTTTGATTTCACCTGCCACCAAAGAACTGGGTGATAATATTCATGCCTGTTTCAGTGTGCTGTTTCTTTCTGTCTGTTAGCATAATATTTCATGCACCACTGGATGGATTTTATTGAAACTTTCAGAAATTAATCGCTGAATGGACGCCTACAAATRTTTATTTTTTGGAGTCAACCCAATTGAAGATGGCTGCTGCAGCTAATCAAACTTAGCAAATACAAAAATGGCAATACCTCGGTCAGTTTTAAAGATTTTGAGCTAAATTTTGGTGTGGTAGTAACTAAGATTTATTACCAAAAAAATACTCCAAGCATTAATAGAACAGACCACATCTTGGTTTTCAGTTTTTGCCATTATTTATGGGACTCAACTCTGTCTGTCTGTTAGCTAAATATTTCAAGAACCACTTAATTAATTTTTAATGAAACTTTCCAACAGTAATCATTGGRTATACATTGTCAACTGACAAACTTTTAAAGTTACCCTAATTCAACCAGCCAACTGACCTTAAAAACCTCAAAAATGGCTAGAAYTCAAGTCAGTTTTACAGAAATCAGGCTAGTATTTAATGTGTTAGCTGATGACCAACACATGTCTGAATACCAAACATTGAACAATAACTTTGCTCAAAATATCAGCATTACCTGTTTGACTTAACTGTTTGTCTGTTAGCAAAATATTTCATGAACCACTAAGCATGTTTAGATGATACAAAGCCTGCAAGGGGACATGGGGGATTTTTTTTCCTTTTGTGCTCCCTCGCAATACTTTTGCGTTCCCACGCAAAAGATTGTTTTGTATATGAACTGAATTAAATCAGACTTTTATTTTGAAATATCCGGTTACCAAAAAAGGATGCGTCACCACAAGTTTGAGAAATTGACATTGATGTTGTGTGGCTGTACTGTGTTAAAATATCAGCATATGACGTACTTCCATGCG